GAATTAATTGAATTAGGTGTAGGTGGAATGTCAGTGAGTTTACTCCATTCGCATGTTCAGCGCTGAACAGACAGCTCACTGCAAGCAGTCTGAATAAAGCCAAGAGCTCTGTTCCAATAAAAAGGCGGTTAAATGTATTCCTATTTACAGTATGAGTTAGCATCATACAGAGACTGTGGTAATGTCATTAATGAATCATTTTTAACTTGGAAAGACTCTGTTCCTTGTCATTTTCCTCCCCCAGTACAAACCATTGTTCCCATTGCCACATTAAAATTCCTCCTCCCAGTGCTGGGCTTTCATGTGGTCGGCTGGTGGCTTGGCTAAAGCTTATGTGTATCCATCCATCCACACTCGCACACACATACTCAACCTCACACACAGTCTGAAAATGTTCTCTCGAACAAACTCGGCTAGTTTACAGTAATCACCCAAAAATGTAAAAACAATTCTGTTGTCATTTCAAAGATATGACAAACTGTGCAACAAAAGTTTTTAAATTATTTTAAAAAGAAGAAATAAATGCATGACTGACAGACAGAAAAAAATATGTCAGAATTGAAACTTTTGGGTGAACTATTCATTTTAAAGTGTTTTATTTCAACTGTGTGAACAGCGACCCCCTCTAGCCCATGTTGTTCTGCTGGCTTTAACAAACATGAACCTTCAGCATGCATTGGGGCAGCTTGCTGGATGAAAATCAGCACCTCCAAGTCCGAAGCCATAGTGCTCCACTGTAAAAAGGTGGTTTGCCATCTCCAGGTTGAAGAAAAGTCCTTCCCCCAGGGGGAAGAGTTCAAGTATGTTGGGGTTGTGTTCATGAGTGAGGGAAGAATAGAACATGAGATTGACAGGTGGATTGGTGCAGCGGCAGCAGTAATGCGGTCGATGTACTAATCTGTTGTGGTAAAGAAGGAGCAGAGGGGAAAGGTAACGCTCTCGATTTACCGGTCAATTTATGTTCCTACTCTTACCTACAGTATGGTTATACAAGTGGCCGAAACGAGTTTTCTGCGCAGAGTGGCAGGGCGCACCCTTATAGATAGGGTGAGGAGCTATGTCACCTGGGAAGAGCTCGGAGTAGAGCCGCTGCTCCTCCACATCGAGAGAAGTTGAGGTGAGGTGGCTCAGGCCAGTCGCTCAGGTGTTTCAGATGCCTCCTGGACGCTCTACCTAGGGATGTGTTCCAGGCATGTCCGACTGAGAGGAGGCCTCGGGGAAGACCCAGAACATGCTGGAGAGACTATGTCTCTCGGCTGGTCTGGAAAACCCTCTAGAGGAAGTTTTTGGGGAGAGGGAAGTCAGGGGTTCTCTCCTAAGACTGCTGCCCCTGCGACCTGGCCCCGGATAAGAGGACGAAAATGAATGAATAAATGAATGTGTGAAAAGCTGACCTTTTGCGACATAATTCTGGTGAATCACAAAGCTTCTAAAAACATATCTACATCTACAAGGCCAGACAGAATCTGTGAACTTTTTAAATATTACAGTTTATTGTGATAATATGCAGTAATATTACATCATATACCAATAATAATATAGGTTTGGCACTGATTTAAGCAAGGTGATAAGCATATGGATTCTATAAGCAAGAATTAAAAATATGGATAAATTTAACTTATTTTTAAAAGGTTTTACCACAGTGTGAATGTTTGTGTGGGGAATTCATGGCTGTCAGATATAGAGGTGAAGACCCCTAGCAACAACAATGCTGAAACGGTCTTGCTTCTGATTGGCTGTTTGGTGTGTCATATAGCAGATGGAAAGCTTACCTGCTTTAGTCATAAAAATCAAAATGAACTAAGATCTTTCAAATGCACATAATACTCAAACGCTACAGAATAGTTCACCCAAAAGCAAAGAAATTATTAACTCACCCTCAGGTTTTACTAAGATGCAGCGTTTACTTCAGTGCTGCTTTTTTGTTGTTTTGCAATCTGCTTTGATTATGCTACTAAATTCTCCATGGAAAAAGAGCATGCCGATTTGGAACAACACAAGGTAGATGATGTCAGAACATTTTTGGGTGACTCTCCCATAAAGTAAGGCAAATATTCATTACATCATCCTCACAATACTTAATAAGAGTTAACTGTCATTGCTCAAAAAATGTGAAGAGACTTTTCTGTTTTTATCAGGCAGCAGTGCGTATTTTGATCAAACTGCCCTAGTTCGACCGGCAGTGGCTGCATGTCAAACGTGGCAGAACAACAATGCGCTCGTGCTGTAATCCGTCACCACTGTTAATTGTCTGAAGCCTTAAAGTACAGGTCTGTCCATATGATTCTATAAAAGTACTCAGACCCTTATAATTGAAATAAACAATATCTCCCAGTTAATTACTGGTCAGGCTAATTAAAGAAAGGCAGCGGTGCTGGGAGAGGAGCTTAAATATACCACTACGAGAGAGCTATGCAGGACACAATTCAAACAGGGAGAAAATAGATGGGACTCTGTGTAATTTTGGTTGTGAACCGCAGAGGAAAAAATGTATAATTTAGGCCAGAAATTATTCATTTAACATAAACGCTTGCTTTAAAAACAAAAAGTATTCATTTGAGAGGAGAGTTCTCTCTCCCTCGTTCTGTCGCTCGTTTTAGGAATAAACTGAAGTCAGTGCAGTTTTTCGTAATGAGACAATGTTGTTAGTGTGTGTGAGCGTATGTTTCATGTTTCTTTTAGTATTTGGCCTCTTCTGATGGCTGTGATGGTGTGTGGGCTATATTGAGTCTAAATGGTCCTGTCCTGTCCTCCTCTGTGTGTTTTTGATATTTTTTTGTGACCGTGTAGAGGTGACCTCTCATGTTTCGGTGTCTGGGACTTCCTCAAAGATGTGGCGCCATTGTGTGGGCCAGACAGGACTATTTTTTTGTTTTGTTTTTGCCTTTGCAATCGTAATGCCGCTTCTATCAATTTGCATACTTGTTTAATTTTATAGCACATAACAGTATTTTTGGAGGCTACACGAATGGCTTAAGGAGTTGCTGTGTGGGTAACATATTCATCCTGTTTTTGGCTCTTCAAAGGAATCGCTAAAGGGCGCTTAGGGTGAATTTAAAGACGTGCTGTTGACCTACGAGTGACTCATGTTTTTTTTCTGTTTTTGTTACTATAAAAAAGAAAGGATGCTCATTTTGCATTATTCTTGATGAATAACAAGCTGCAGTCACACACAAACACAACCACGCAGTATTTAATTTTAAAAACTAAAATCACTACAAAAACATACTGTATATAGCTAACATTTTATTGACTTAAATTATCTTTTAAATGCAGGCTTTTAAATGTGGCCTTAAAGTTTTTTTTAAAGTTTTTTTTTCAAAATTAGTTTTTAAAACACTTGCAAAAATGCTGCAGCATCAAATAAATATGTTTAATGTTTTCATTAACATTTATTTAGAGTATTCATATATGTATTTTTTCTGTATGTTCCGTGACATAGCACATATAAAATACTGAATTGTCCACGTCTGCATCACAGGGCACTAAAGAAACAATTAATTTTGACACCCCTAATATAAATCTATGCAATAACAAATCAAGAACTGACAGCTCATTACTCACATTTTATACAGTAATTAACTGTTTCAAACTACTAAAAATGTCAACAAAAGTCATATTTAAACTTAAAAAAAAAAAAATCAAATAAAACTGATCGAGTAGTAAGGTCTAATTATATATTTCAAAAGCATAATAACATTTATTTTATTTAGAATTTACTTTAGTTTTGGTGACTTTTTGTAACTTAAATAAAATAAAAAAGATTTTACAAGCAACTAGCTAAAGTAAAGCTTATAAATAACTACTAAAGTAAAAGTTACTAAAGATACTAGCAGCTAGCTAAAGTAAAGTTTATAAGTGCACCTTATTTTATTTTACATCTATCGCTTACATTTTTATTCACTATAATATCCCTCCATCAAATCCGACCAGATGTACAGTACAGAAAGTGACCTGTGAACACAACCGCCAAATGCCAAATGGTGAACCTATGAAGTAAATTGTGATGTCTTTTGTTACCATGGATCAACATGAAGTAATGACTGTTTTAAATTGTCTTCATATTTTACAAAGTACAAGTAAACTCTGGATCTTCTGGGAGATGACAATCATGTGTACAACAATAAAGTGCAGCATTATATTGCTTCCTTGGCCCACATTCTCATAAACATTCTCCCTATACACACACAAACACACACAGCAAATGGACGCACACTATGCGAGTACAAAGACCTCGAGCAGACACAAATATGCATTCCCACAAAGTTACCACATACACACAAATACAGTTCACACGCATCTTTCGGTGACGTGAAAGTACCGCATTCTTTGCCTCGCTATTTCCTTTGTTCTCGTTTAATGAGATTTTCAGACTGTCTGTGATTCGGTTATGTAGAACAAATGTCCTTCCTCCTCAGTGTTCTCAGACACATAAGCCCAAAACAGTATATCCTCCTGTCAACATCTCCACAGACAACCCTCCTCTAGCAAAGGCTGCCTCTACATTAGCTCCAAGCTGGACGGGAATGGAGTGCCACTGTATTGCTTTTTGCATACTGTGTGTGCAGTGTGTTCTGTATACTGTCTAAAGGCCCATTCACACCAAGCACAATAACTATAACAGTAACAGTACAGATTTAGTTCTAAAAAATATGAATCATTCTAATTAGGACTGCACAATTTATTGTTTGAGCATCGATATCACAATGTGTGTATCCACAATAGTCACATCGCAGGATTATATTATTTATTAAATATTGAAGATGAAGACATTATTAAATATTATCATTTTTAAATCATTTATACAACTATAACCATATTATATCATGTTTTTTTTGCTTTAGGAATGTGCAGACAGATTTAAAATTAAATCAAAATACAATTTAAAAGTTCCTCATAAAACTTCTGAATCATCACGGTGTAAATGTAATGTGAAGTTGCATGTTTTTTTAACCTGAAAATGCAGGTGTGAGTAAATGTGAGGGCAGTGTTGAACTCACCATGAGCCTGGGCTGCAGAACTGTGAGAGTAGCCGAGGGCGAGGAGAGCAGTCTCCACCAGTTGAGTGAAGAGGATGTCCTTCCTGACCAGCACAAACTCAGCATGTTCCTCTCGGCTCTCTCCATCGGAAATCATCCCTCCATCCATCTGCTCCACCACGCAGAAGACAGGAATCATCAAACCTGCAAGAGAGCACGAAGATGGAAATCATTAGCTAACAGAGAAGACCAAAAATGTATTAATATCTGCTGGAAAAGATATACAGTATGTACACAATACACAAATATTTTAGAAAAAGTCATTGATGTAATTCACCTAAAAGTAAATTTTACTTTCCTAGATTTGTTCATTTACTCCCAGTGGGCAGATTGACTTACTCCTGATGAAATATCCCCAGTCACTCCATTAATATATATTCAGTACAAAAATTATAGAAAAAAACCTAAAAATCTCTCTCACAGCTGATTTCTAAATCAAGCGTAGCATTATTTGTATAAGCTGCCACGTGCTGTTCACCAGAAAAGCCTGTTCATTAGAACTCATTAATGATTAATAGGATCATCATTTGCATGTGAATAAGCTGGCCAGGGTCAATGGTTTGTCCCAGGTTTCACAGCCCATGCAAATAGTCAACATGGACGAACCGTCCAGATTGTTTATCAAACCAGCCATCAAACCAGCTCCAATACACTCCATTAAAATTATCATTTTTTATGATGCCTCCCTCAGCTTTGTCAGGGCAGCTGAGCTGATATCTCCTCAAGTCAACGGCCTGCGTGCTAACGGCAGGGTCACTTAATAAAATTAGTTGCACAAGCCTGCAACGGATATGCAAACTTTTTTCGACTTCAGTGTGTTTGAGGTTATGGCTCATTGCGCTGTAACTTAACACATTATTTTAGTAGTGTTGACTTTGTTAACATTTTAGTTAAAAATGTTTATGATTAACCTGTCAAATATGTTGGCAAGTGATTCAGTGGGTACAGAGTTCCCGTGTTTTAATGGGATGTTGAGATGCATAGTCATTCACGGTTTGTTGAGAAATAGTACGAGATACCTAATGACGCCTGAAAAAAACACACACACACACATCCCACCCAAGCTTCCTGTGGTTAAAGGGATAGTACACCCAAAAAGTCATATTAGTTTTTATGAACACAAAGGAAGATATACTAAAGAATGTTGGAAAAAGCAGCCATTGGTGGATTTTGATGGGAACTATTTTCCAACATTCTTCAGAATATCTTCTTTTGTGTTTAACATTCAGAAATTTCATTAAAGTTTAGAAGTGCTTGAGTATGAGTAAATAGTGAGGGATTTTTCATTTTTGGGTGAGCTATCCCTTTAATCCAGGCCTAACTTAACCCACAGTATCTGTGCTGGCCTTTTCAATTTCCGTGAAGTGCTCAAAAGCCTTCTGGACTATTAATTAATACCCCACTGAAATTATAGGCTGAAAGCATTAGGCAAAATCCCAGTTGTACTAATAAAAGTGGAGTAGTACAAAACTCCCTCTCCTAATTTATACACGCACACACACGCACACACGGCCATACAAATACATATACATTTGCGCGGTGCTCCCAGAGCCCCTTGGTTTAATCAGTCAATTCCTATATTTCTATTTCCTTTCCATTAATCACCCTGGCTTCCATTTCAGAATGCTCTTATGGAGTGAATTACAGGCCAGGGGCCAGTGCCAATTCAAGTAAGTGAATTTCCCCCAACAGGGAAATATAACTGTCAACACACAGCAGCTCCCAGCAGTCCCTCTCCCTCTCTCTCTCTCCTTGACTTGCTCCCATGGGCTCATCCCTGTACTCTGTTTGAGCAAGGTTTCAACGTAAGATAATAGCAAGTCTCTGTCTACATCATTTTAGTGTGTGTGAGTGTTTAATTGCCCTGTATCAGTTTGTGTCTGTTTAATTTTGTGTTGTAATATGCATCAACCCCATATTCTAGACTTGCACATGAATACTGAATGTATGCATGTCATTTATTTGTATTATTTATGCTAGTTGTAGGATAAACTGTTACCATAATAATGAAATACTACTTTATAGTACAGTATATAAAAGTGTGATGTTTAATAAAATTACAATAATTAAAGTGGAAATGCAGATGTAGTGTTTACTAAACATTTGAAATGAGCATGTTTGTTGTTTGGCAGAAAGAAATATACTCAAATTCAATTGAGAAGCAAAACTGTTAGATAATAATAATAATAATAATAATAATAATAATAATAATAATAATACATTATAAACATTCATTCATTCATTTTCTTTTCAGCTTAGCCCTATTATTAATCTGGGGTCGCCACAGCGGAATGAACCGCCAACTTATTCAGCATGTTTTACACAGCGGATCTTTCCTTCAAAACTTTGTATTAAAAACTATCTGGATGGGTATTTTTTTATTATGTCTATCAATATAACCCAGTTTATTGTTCATTGCCTACAAAATTGATATATAATTAGCTTGAGATATTCAATTGCAAATGTAAAATAGCATGTAATTAGATTACATGGGGCTGGTGTTGAGCTTCAGATAACAACAACCACAAAAATAACAACAACAACAAGAACAATAATAATAATAATAATAATAATAATAATAATAATAATAATAATAAACTTCATAAAATAAATCTTGAATGCATATTAGTATTATTTTTTTATTTTTTATTCTACCTTCAGAACATTTGTATTAAATCTTTCTGGATGGGTATTTTTTTTTATTACTTATATCAATATTACCCAGATTATTGTTCATTCCCTACAAAGTTTATGTATAATTAGTTTGAGACATACAATTGCAAAATGTAAAATAGCATGAAATTAGATAATGTGGGGCTACTGTTGAGCTCCAGATAATAATAATAATAATAATAATAATAATAATAATAATAATAATAATAATAATAATAATAATAATAATAATAATGATGATAATAATAATAATAATGATGATAAATGGGGTGTCACTAGCCAATCTGAAGACTGTGTACACCAGGCAGCTAAAGAGAATTACAATTTCAGTTTTAAGTGATGCTGCTCATCACCTACATTCAGAGTTTCAGCTCCTTCTTTCTGGATGCAGGTTTTTAGTATCAAGCTGCACACCTAAATAACACAAACTTTGCAAAATTTACTATTTTTTTATTATTAATATTATGAATATTATTATTTTTAAGATTATTATTATTATTATTATGTCTTTTGCTGGTTAAAATGCTACTACTGTTCTGATCATTTATAAAGTATTTTAGATGAAATTGTTTGATAAATGATTCAATTTAAATGTGCATGAAGTTTTGTTAGTCCTCTAGGTGACGCTAGCAGTGCAGAAACTATACCTGTACATATTTGCATGACGTTTTAATTCAAGTTTAATTACATTTTCTAAAATCAGTACAAATGTCTTCACAAGTAAATTCGTTGTGATATACTTTAGCTGGACAACTGAAAAAAAGAAATACTGATTAGTAAAACGAGAGCCCGGCTACTTTCCCACTCTACCTGTTCCAGACAATTCTCAGTAAAAGAGTTTATTGACATAGATATTCAGTCAAATCCAATTGGCTTCAGAGGTGTAAATGATACTCATACGATCATGAACAAACACACAGTATGCATTGTTAAGGTCTTGGCCCTTAAAAAATATCTAATCTATGTCTGATATGATTGGCTACACACAGTGCTAGCTGTCAAGGTGAATTACAGCTTGACCCTGATGACATTTTGGTTCAGTGCATAACATTAGAGATCATATAGTGTGAGTGACGATATAATATAACACTTCAAGTTGTGTGTTGTTGAACACAAACTGATTTCCGAAGGGAAAGTTGGTGACTGCTTTATTATTAGAACTTCACACATAACTTTATGTAGGTCTTTAACTTGACTATAAAAAAATCTGAGTGTTTATTTTGGCAAATTGTCTGTAGCTTGGGTGTTTTATTTAAATTTTTGTATTTTTGTTTATACTTATTCTATTAAATTATATAGTGAAACCTTAATATTTCCTAACTTTTAGACCTAACATTTGATGTAGAAAATTGAACAAAGTGACTTTAATTGATATTTTAGTATTTTCAAACTGTGCTTTCTGGGATAGTCATGTAAATTAGAGTTCAAAAATCTGGCAACACTTTTATTTTTACAAACTTTCTGCGACATATAAAGCAGTAACATCAGTATCCTGCAGAATGGTACAATGTTGTACCAAAGAAGGTACAAACCCTTGTCACTGGGGAAGCACCTTTTTATGAGACAAAATTGTACTTTAAAACAAAGAAACACATTTGTACCATTGCAGTTTGTACCTTTAAGGACATGATTTGTACCATCAGAAACCAAAATGTACCTTTGGTTTTGAAAACCTGCAGATACAATCTTGTACCTTCATCAAAGTACAAATCTGATGCATAAAGGTACCACCACATTGACAAGATACTTTGTACCTCAACAGTGTCAAAAACATTTACTTAAAATGCCTTAAATGTTTAGTTTACAATACCTACTGTATAGTTTTAAGTTTTTCCAGTTGTTTTGTATTATAGAATCTAAAAATGAATGTTTATAAGTGTGTTCAAACATATGCTTTTAAATAGTGATTCTTGATGTAATATGGAAATTATTTATAAAATCACTTTGCCTTTCTAGTAATATTTATTTTCACAGATATTGTAATAAAGAAGGAGTTGATCAACACTTTTGTACCTTTTATATGAGAGCAATTGTGTACCATAATTTTAGTTCAAGGCACAGAACAGTATTATAAGAGGTCTTTCTGTATCATATGAGGTACAACTTTTACAAAGGTACAAAACTATTACTTAAGGAACATTGTTCTTTTGCAACAGTCTTTGCTGAATAAAATGTATTTAATTTAAAAAATGTATAATTTATTAATATTCTACAATTACTAATACTTACAATCATATTTTAAAATATTTATCTTTATAATAATATAATTAAAAAAGATCTATATACGCACGCACACACACACATACACAGTGCTAAGCATACAATTGAAATCAGAATTATTAAATCCCCTTTGAAATATTTTTCTTTTTAAAATATTTCCCAAATTATGTTTAGCAGAGCAAGGAAATTTTCAGAGTACGTCTGATAATATTTTTTCTTCTGGAGAAAGTCTTATTTGTTTTATTTCGGCTAGAATAAAAGCAGTTTTAAATAAATAAAAAGAAACATTTTAAAGTAAAAAATTATAAGCCCCTTTAAGCTATATATTTTCCTACAGAACAAACCATCATTACACAATAACTTGCCTAATTGTCCTATCCTGCCTAGTTAACCACATTAGCCTAGTTAAGCCTTTAAATGTTACTTTAAATTGTACAAAAGTGTCTTGAAAAATATCTAGTCAAATATTATTTACTGTCATCATGACAAAGATAAAATAAATCAGTTATAAGAAATGGGTTACTAAAACTATTATGTTTAGAAATGTGTTGAAAAAATCTTCTCTCCATCAAACAGAAATTGGTGAAAAAAACATGGTGCTAAGAAGGCGTGCTTATAATTCTAATAAATCTGACTTCAACTGTATATATATATATATATATATATATATATATATATATATATATATATATATATATACATATATATATATACATACATACTGTATGTAATATACAATTTACATATTTTATAACAGGGGTCACCAACCCTGTTCCTAGAGAGCTACCTTCCGGCACATTTCAGTTGCAACCCTGACCAAACACACCTGTTTGTAATTATCAAGTGCTGCTTTAGGTACTATTAATTGGTTCAGGTGTGTTTGATCAGGGTTGGGACTGAAATCTGCAAGAAGGAAGCTCTCCAGGAACTGGGTTGGTAACCCCTGTTTTATAATATCAATTTTATAACAATTTTATTTATACAAGACAATTTAGCAGACAGGTTTTTGCGATGCTTTTTCAAATAATAAAAAGCAGAAACAAATAAATATTTGTTGATAATGTGGTCCTAATAACTTTGCCTTTTCTTTGAAATTAAAATGCTTATCATGTTTGACTTTTTTGTAAAATATTGATGCTGGAATAAAAAAGTTCTTTTCCACCATATGTGCCAACTTCCTGTGCGCAAAAACATATTTAAAAGCCAATCAATAATCACAGCTGTGCCACATCAATGTACAGTAGGTGGCAATTCGTTAGCATCACTGTAATCAATATGACCCTCTTTCAGACACACACAAATGTTACAGCAGTCAATAACTGACCAAGGGGAATAAATCAGGTTTATACAGCACTACTTAATTCACTGATACTATAGTAGCTCCTGGGAGCTGATCTACAGCGGTGTATGGGATCTAACCGATCTGCATCACGCTCTGTAGATGGCTCTTTTAAAATTGAGAAGCAGGCTAAATTGTGCTCATTTTTTATTTTATAACGAATACTCTCATGAATTAAAAAGCATTATAATTGTTGAAGTAGTGCTAATGTGGGAGACACGAGTGTGAAATTTGCCTGCTATTATTACAATTATTTACTACAGCTCATGGCGCCAATGCTAAGGCTGTGGGTTTGATCCTCAGACAAGGCAAAAACTGCTAAGATGTGTATGTCATATAAATGCCATATAAGATGCTTTGGATAAAAGCTTCTGTCAAATGTATACATTTCGCCAGCTTACCATTAATAAAAGTTAAAAAGGTTTGAATTATGTATTTTCTGTTGCGCATGACTATAAGTTGCACAGAGTCAAAACTGTTTAGTTGAGAAGAAAAAAACACAAAAAAATCGCATTTGGTATACATGTCAAATTTCATTCAGAAATGATGTAAATGTGCTACCAATGGGCTAAAAAATGTTAGCAAACACAACAAATGTAATTACAGTTTTTCTCCGCCGCTTTGGTGCATTTCTCACAACACTATTTACATTTGCACAACAGTTCATGCATTTCTCAAAACAATTAAGTCATTTGAGCACATCACAGTAGCAGTTTCTCATTCCTTCCAACAAATTGCAAATGCTTTTGGACATGCATCAATTGCTTTCATACAACTCTCTGCTGTTTTATAACATTATCATTTGCTTATGTCATGTCAGTCAAAATGAACTAAACTTGTGAATGCTGAATAGTCATTCCATATAAAACTAATAGTCCTCATTTCATAACTTGAGTCCTTAAATACAAAAAGGTTGAACTAGTTGTCAAATTTTATAAAAGTTTTAACCTTTTTTCTCTGAAAATGTCTTCTAAATTGAACAATTTCATAAATGATTTACAGACTTGTGTATGTTGTAGGTTCAGTTCCAATATGTACTGCAATATTGTTTACAGTAGTGCACAGATCTACCCAAATTAAGTGTATGTTTGTTGTAAATAAAGGTGTATTTATTCTTTTGCACAATGCTGTGAATAAATATGAATTGCAAAGAGCAAATGCAGTAAAAATGTGAAACATACATGTTCAAAGTCTTGTACTCAGATACCTCACTAAATGCAGTGATCTCTAACTTTACTGTAGTTTTCAAATGGCTGTGCAAATAGTAAATAGTGCTGTCTCGAGCATTTTCAGGAAGTGTCACCAAAATCTGACGTTATTGTTTTGGAAAAAAAATGTACAAAGTAAACTGTCATAATGAAAACATGACAAAGCCATTCGACTATCTTGTTCATAAACAATGGTGTCAGGACTTTTCATCTTGATGACACTAACACTATTATTGACATGAAAACTTGCTTTTGAGGAATGAGCTATACATTTTGAGCAAGTGACATGATTTTGCAGGTTATCAAGTAGTTTTTGCAGTTTGTACTAATTGTTTTGAGAAATGCATTAACTGTTGTGTAAATGGAAATAGTGCACCAAAAGCCACTGAGAAAAACTGTAATTTCCCCTCACTCTACAACAAATCCTTTAAATGTAATGATACATTTTGCAGAATGCAAATTATCATAAACAATTATAAACATCAAGCCTAAAGTACATGAAAATATATTCAAAGTAAAACCAAATCTAACGACATGGTAGGAATGTACCACATCATTTATTAAAACAAACAAACAAACAAACAAACAAATAAATAAATAAATAAATTAATTAATTAATTAATTAATTAATTAATTAAAAACAAGCAACTGTTTTAAAAATATACAGTGGTGTTTTTATGTGAAATTAAATTCTTTGAACCCATTTTATTGTTTTCTACTAATGTATGGGATTCATAGGTGTACAATTTACAAGAGAACCAAAATTACATAAAGTTTTAATTACCTCTGAAGCAAAATAGCGTAATTAACAATGATAATAGATCCATCTATGTCCATGAATAACTTTAAAGCAAGCATATTTTGACTTTCATCCTAACTATTTCTTGCTGTTGCAATGATTTGACTAGAAACACAGCTACATGCACTTTCTATTTATTAGTTACTCACTCCACAACAGATCCTTCAAATGTAATGCTAAAAATCTCAGAATGCAAATTATTATAAACAATCCTAAACGTCAAGCCTAGAGTATATGAATTTATTCTAATGACGTGTAGGGAATGTGCCACAAATACTCATAGTGTCTCCCTTGATCAACAATGTGTACATGCTTTGTGCAATTATGTATTTTGCTTTGAAATGAAAGTTGCAGCATGTTTCAGATGATGTACAAGATGCTGTATAATCTGTACAGTAGGATTGTTTTTGATTGTCTTACCGCTAAGAGGTCTTTGTGGGGCCCCGTTGTGACGACTGCGGTGACCAGTGGGGCTGCCGTTGAGCTCTAGACGGCCCAGCTTTTGTGGAGGGCAGCCGATATCAGGGCTGCTGCTCCCACGTCGCTCGGGACTGTCCCGCAGTCGAGGACTCTCTCCTCCACCACGCTCCATCCCCCTCCACACTACAGGGGGAACACCAGCCAGAGGATAAGGACCTGAAAAAGAGTGAAAAAGCTTATGAAAACACAGCCAATATCAATGCAACAATTGTACATCATAAATCAAATGTGCAATAATAAAAATAATTAATTAAAATAAAAAAAATCACTTGATCAATCAAATCAGTCAATCAAAAATAAAACCCATTCAATTAAATCAGTCAATCAATTCTGAGCAGCCTAAATTAAGCAAAATGTAAATTAAAACTACTGCATGAAATAATGCTAGAAAGTACTCCACAAATCAGGGTTATTATTCTTAATTAAAAGTAAAACCATGAATTTTTTTTTTAAATAAATGTAATAAAATACATAGACATATTTTTACAGTGCTATTACTAATCTTTACACACAAAGACACAGACAACAATACATGGACATCAAACTCTGTCCTAAAATACAGTGAAATGTTTAAGACGCTGCCATCTTATCAACACAATCAGCAAACAGTTCAGCAGAGATCCAGCGTCTCGTTCTGCTCCAGCGTCTATGGGAATGTAAACTGATGGAGATGAACACTTATAAGCGAATGTGTTGCCAGAATGCTAAACTTCTATAAAAAATGTTGAAAGCAAAGATGCTTGAAATATGTTTATCAATTGAGTTATAAATTGAATGCATGAGTGTGTTTTTTTTAAGCACATGGATGTCTGAACACATTCATCTGAGCGACTGGGAGCTCCACTGGGATACTGTCAAGAGGTCTTTGTTTGCAAGCCAAACCTTTAATATTGGTAATGTCCATCAGAGTCAGTGCCAGACTGAGCATTGAGTCCAAGCCAAACGTTAAAGACTTTGGAACATACTCTCAACTGGAGCGCTTTGATTTGCATATCACTTCCTAAATGCAGAGGGTTAGTTGGATGGATGGATGGATGGATGGATGGATAGACGGTTAGACAGACAGACAGACAGACAGACAGACAGACAGACAGACAGACAGACAGACAGACAGACAGACAGACAGACAGACAGACAGACAGATAGATAGATAGATAGATAGATAGATAGATAGATAGATAGATAAATAGATAGATAGATAGATTCAATATTTTCAATTCAATTCATTCTCTCTGCTATTTTCCTCACAGTGGTTATGCAGAAAATATCCATCATTTTTCTGGCTTTGACGTGAAAAACATCATCATGGAACATAAAAAAGTCCAAAGAGAATTACAAGCTGGATCTAAATTCTCAAAATGAATAATAAATTAAAAACATTAGCCTCTGCGTGATTAAAAAGCTAATGCGGGTCCAGAAATCAAGTGTCTGAATTCTTTTCAAAAGTTTAATAAGCGGGTGGGAGGGAGAAAAAACACTTTAAGAGCATTTGAATGGAAAGAAATGTGTTAGGCTGAGGGAACAAGAACCGATGGTCCACACTGTACACACATACACACATACACACACAAGAAAGAGATTTACAGAGCCTTTGAGGCAGTTTAATAGAGCTCAAGTGTGAACAATACACTACAACAATGGACATGCATGCTTATGAAAACACTCGCATACATATACAAAATTAATAGCGCCCATTAAACACAGCTTTCCAATTAAAACTGACATTCTCTGAGGCCATTACTTCTCATTTCTGTCATGGGATTTTTTTTACCTGGCACTAAGTTTTAAAACACTGCAACTCAGTAACAATAACGGATAAGGTCTTAAAATATAACAGATTCAACCCACCGCTATATGTGTAAGATCACTGTGAACTCTATGAGGCGAACTGATCTGCTTTTAATTAACAGCTCGTCTGCGATGTGGGTCTGCCCATTAAACTTGCAGTCCCAGGGGTAAAATAAAATCTCTTCAGCAAAAGTGTCTTGAGATGTTTCAGATGCTTGCGAGGATAAAACCACAAACGGACACAATGTCCATTGTCTTTGATGCATTGACAATCGGTGACACTATGGATGTTATATATGTTTGCCTACAAATGCATGTTTATCAGGTCTTATTCATCTGGCATTGATGGCTTGTCTTTGCTCCTTCCCTCACTGGGCTTCACAGGTCCAAACCTGTCTGATTTTAATGAGTCTTCTGATCCCAATCAAGAGCCTGTCTGAATCTCTTTTCCAATCTCTATACCAATCTTTTTCTTTCTCGCTATCTCCAGCTAAGCACCAAATATTTGATGGGTAGATAAAGAGAGCTCCAGTGTGTCTGTTTGTCACTTGCGTATGGAGATTTGCAGTGATGGCGCTATAAAAAGTTTATTCTGGTTAATACACAGCTGCTGTCATAGATCAATTCAAGCCTAACACTATTTTGTATACTTTCACATTAAACTAGTGTGATTTAAAGTTTTGGAATTCATGAACTCAAGGTAAAAAGAGACAATTCATTACTAGATCTAATCCAGACTTTGCTGAACTAATAGTGAGGGGCTTTATCAATACAGAGTGTTTTTCTTTTTCTCTATTTTAGCATAAGACTGGAATGAAATTACTTTTCATTTTGTGTGTAAATTGAAATGGACCATTGGAAGATTATGAAGCATGAACTGGAGGAATTGCTAATAAATAAACTCTGCCACTGAAATATCCTTTTCAGTCATCAGAGAAATTATTTAAAATTCTTAAAGAGACGGTTCACAAAAATATAATCAAGTTCACACAAAAATTGTCACATAAATATCACACCTTATATTTACTCACTAGAAACTCACCCTCGAGTGATTTCAAAACTGAATCAGTTACTTTATTTTCTTAAACACCAAGACATTTTGAAGAATGATTAAAAAAACCTGTAACCACTGACTACCATAGTCAGAAAAACAAATACTATGGAAGTCAATAGTAACATGTTTCTAGCTTTCTAAAAATGTAAAGGGTTAGTAAATAATGACAGAAAATTCAGTTTTTTTGGTGAACTATCACTTTAAGTCTGTTATGTATTTTTTTCACAAACACATACATGTACAGTTGAAGTCAGAATTATTAAACCCCCTGAATTATTAGCTGTTTATTTTATTTTATTTTTTGCCTAATTTCTGTTTAACGGAAAGAAGATGTTTTCAACACATTTCTAAGCATAATAGTTTTAATAACTCATTTCTAATAACTGATTTATTTTATCTTTGCTATGATGACAGTAAATAATATTTGACTAGATATTTTTCAAGACACTTCTATACAGCTTCAAGTGACATTTTAAGGCTTAATTGTGTTATTTAGGTTATCTAGGCAGGTTAGGGTAATTAGGCAAGTTATTGTATAACGATGGTTTGTTCTGTCGACTATCGAGAAAAAATATATAGCTTAAAGGGGCTAATAATTTTTACCTTAAAATGGCTTTTAAAAAAATGTAAAGACTTTATTCAGAAGAAAAAATATTATCAGATATATTGTAAAAATTTCCTTTCTATGGTAAACATAATTTGGGAAATATTTAAAAAAGAAAAAAATGTGAAAAGGGTCCATAAAATTACTTTTCTAAGTAATGAGTAAAGTAACGCATTACTTTAAAAAAAAATAAGTAATAATATTTGGGTTACTTCTTAGTGCAATTAATTTGCTTTTAAAAAATAAATTGCTGAATTAAAATTAAAGTAGTCTCAATGATTCACGCAGTAAATGAGAGAATGTGTTCATTATTTCGCAGGAAAGAGCATCGTTTCAATGTACAGTGATTTTACTTAAGATAAAAAGTACAAAAGTAGTAAAGAATAATAAACTTTTAATAATCTGTATATGCAGCATGTATAGCTATGGAGTTCTCAGATAACATAATTGTAATATTTTGATGTGTTTTTGAAAGGTAAATTAAGGTTTAGGTTTTATAGTGCGTTGTTAAATTGCAGAACTTCTCTAATAAAATAGAAAAGAAAAAAGACAAGTTCTGAATGGGATCAAGCCTCAGCCAGGTTATAAAAAGTATTACTTGCAGTACTACAAAAAGTAACTAAGCAACACGACTAGTTTTTTTGGGGGGGGAGTACGTCAATATTTTAATGCATTAATTTCAAAAGTTACTTTCCCCAACACTTTATATATATGTTATACATATACAATAAAACAATTAAATCATAATCTTAATTTAAATAAAAATATTACATACAGTAATAATGGGTAAATAATAGCAGAACTGCAAAATCTTGAAGAGAATACACTACTTATGCTATTGCCAATATGCAACTTTGCATGATGATAAAAAACATACATGCTAAGCAGCCTTCCTGATAAATGACTCACACCATGCAAGTGAAAGATGCACAGCACCTACATTGCAATGCTACACCAACAGGTATTCACAACCAGATACACGGTTTGGTTTTTATTTGTAATGCTTGCAGCCACACATTACAAACATAACTAATGACTGTTATGTTTAGGAGTAGATGAGAGAAGCCAGACGAGGGAGTGGAACAGAACTCCGATCCCATGAGACTCAAATTTCCAAACTATGGCGACCACACTGCAGAGACCCTTTCTTAAGCATACGATCTACATTTTCAGCACTTTCCTTCACTAACGTTCCCAATTGTACTCTTTTCTTTGGCACTGAGTGTGGCCTTTGCCAGCTGTACCACACACAGGAAACTGAGGGCAGTAAACGACACACTACTGATCTGACTATACTCACACTGTCAGTCCCTACACACACACATGCAGGGAAAGAGCGAATATCGAGAGAGACTAAAGAAAAGGGAAAAAAGGCAAAAGATTGGAAAATGAATAGAACAAGGAATGAAAAAGATTGTCTAATTTTTTGCTCGTTTTCCAGCTCAGAGTAATAAAAGCCCTTTACCCGATAACAGTTAATAACAACTAATAGAGACGTGCATGCAAATGAACGATGAGATAAAGCTGCGTTGTTAAAGAACTTGGTGGTATCTTTGTGTTGACAACATGCTAAGGCGTTAACCTTATTGACCAGGGAATAGGGCTGTGATACTCATTTATTGCAGGGTTATTAAAGCATCGGCTCAGTCAGGGTACAGATAAAGCAGCTGAAGATGGTTGAGGGATTCGTATTGAAGGCCCCTCGGTGTCTCACAGGTGTGTGCGTTGGGAAGGGAAGAACAGATAGATAGCAGCTTATCACCCATGAATTTGATGGCAGATCAAACTGTAACCAAGACCGATGATTACACTGGAAATATACATAGTACCACAAGCTCAATACAGGACTTCCTTGGACATAGATATAAAGAAAAATGTAAATTAATAAAGCAAATTTGAACATAATTTAACCCATAAAATTAAGTTTTATATCAATTGATTCAGAAATATCAAATAGTATTTTGAGTAAAACCACTCGAATTATAATTTTAGGTTATTTTCAATGCAAATATATGAGAGACAATTTAGGCAAGAAGCGAATAAGTGTCCATAATATACAACTGAATCCAATTGCAAAAAAGAAAAGAAACAAATTACGGTGTGGCTGAGTTGGCAAATGTGACTTGTATGAAAAAAAGTGTCCATTTAGATATGAAGAGACGGTGCGACAGACCTTCTGGGGACCAAGTTTAGTTCAGTAATAAACATCTTAGACAGTAAAAGATAAAGAGTGAGCAGCAGTTTATTATGTTCTCCCTAAATCTCTTGCTTTCTTGACTCGCACATAGACAAAGGCGGACAAACACAAGTGTACACAAACACTCAACACACACAAACCACAGAGCAGGCTCACTGCTCTGACACTTCCAGGGACCACACATTGACTCACAAAAATCACACATGGTAGACTACACTGAGTAGGGCTATAAAACACATATGAACACATACACACACAAACATACACACACACACACACACACGGAGTCAGTATGGATTTAAGTATGCAGAGATTATTTATATGTATATGAGACAAATGAGGTCTGTAGCTATTTTTTATGTTTATTTTGTCAAATACTTAAAAAAAAAAATTAAAACGCTTTTGATAAAAACATAAATACATTCTTGCAAATTCAAGAAAGATCCAAGAACATAAATGAAGCTAATTTCGTCTGAAATGAAACTACAACACTATTATTAATGGATAAAGTTTTTTTTTATTTTAAGTTTATTGAATAGCTACAGTATTTATAAGCCCAACTTAAAAATTTATATTTTTTTATTGTTTATTTCTGCTGCTTCAAAATTTCATTTGCTTAATGTATAGGTTTCATGTAGTGACAACTTACTCATATTGAAAAATGAATTGAATTAATAATATCTTCATTACATAATATCATTGCAGCCAATATTTGATGGAAGCAATCCACAGATTGACTTTCAGTCAATCAGTCAATCTATTAAAAGGCATTGTGAGAACAATAGGAGAGGAATATATATATATATATATACAAGGCCTATACCGAACTTTTTCGACTGTTATAAAAGTGTCTTGGTTTCGGGAGTTATGCATGAATCTATGTACATGACTTAATTCGTTATTATTATTATTATTATTATTATTATTATTATTATTATTATTATTATTATTATTATTAAAACAATACCAGTTTTGTGTGGTTGCGGAAAAGCAACAAATGAATGACGTGCCAATTGCACCTATAGGTCTTGACGAATTTGCGGCAAATTAATATTTTTTAACTTGCGTGCCAGAGTTTAGCCAGAGTCTTTCCATTCTCCTAAAGTAGACTACAACCTAAGAACAGCTACCACACAAACACCTGTTTACTCTGCACTTAAATCAATGCACACATCATCCGCAGATTTAAGCCGTCAGGAGGAACTTTAAGTTGTGGCGGAAGAATTCAATTCAATTCAATTCAATTAGCAAATTAAATAATGACAGATTATATGATATAAATGACATATTATAATGCAATAATACAATACTGTATTTGACTATTTTAAAAATAACTTTATTTCTACATTATGAATTTAAATAATACTCGTCTCTGCTCCTTTTAAACAGATAGCGTCAAGCGTCTTATGTATTAAACAAAACAATTAGCAAGTACTGTAAGTAGCCTCCAGGCTAAAGTAAAAAATGTTCTGGCGCTGAATTCTCCCTGAAGGTAAGGCTGGATAAAACATGCGGTGATTGAATGCTGGATTTGATCCATTTTGATGGGCTCCCCAAAGCGCGAGATTAAAGTATCTTCAGAGGCTTCCATCTATTGCAAAATTACTGAGACGTATAGAGACTCTCTGTTACGGAGACTAATTAACGTTTTGTTTTTCCTTTTGGTCTTGGTTAAGAAAACGTCTCCGCTGGCTATGGGGGCCAGGTTTGTTCAAATGAATAATGGATACATCAGTGTAACTTTAAAAAGAAACAGAATGATCTCTAACGCTGATGGCAGATATATAGCAATCATAGCCCCTCTTGCACAGACATGATTTTGTGAGTGACTCTTCAAATGCATTGCTATAATGTTTTAAAGTGATGTATACATAAGTCGGAGTTTGAAATGACAGGGGAAAAATATCGCATGTAATATAATAACAAATCAAGTGTGCGTTTTTTTTTCTTCTTTTTTTTTCATTTAGCTATTTTCTTGAGAGTCTAATAAGTGTAACTGTCTCCTGGAATGTGGTTCAATTTCTATTTAATGTGTATTGTTTTTGACAACAGAAGGCAATTTCATTACTTAATTTTGAGATGTCTTTTTTCTTTCTTTTACTTGATGCAAAGACGGCTCGGTTTACTTCCGTCATCCTAATGTTAAAGAGGAATCCACAGACTCTGTGTAAAAGAAAAATCACAATCACTTCAAAGGCGTGTGCCATTTTAAAGAGGGACACTGTGTATTGTCATAGCGGGAAACAGTGACTTCCATGTGCTTTGACTTTTTATCGAGTGATTCTGGTTCGGTTTAATTCGTCGGATTATTACTTTTAGGTCTGACATAAACTTAAACCACTCAAACTTATTTTACAAATACACTGTCTAGCTGTCCTATTCTGGTTTATTTTGAGCTGTCTGTATAGAATATTCGGCTGTTAGGGTATTTTGACAAATGCAAAACTTAATTTAATTAAATCAATTTAAAAGCACTTTTTATATTGTACTGAAACACCAAAGTGTAAAAGTGATTTTGCTCGAATAAAACATCCATAGAACTTTATTATGTCCGCTCTAATGCTTCATATTCTCCTTCATAGGTTGTTTCTCTTAAAACACGTTGTTTAACAATACAATGTTGTCTCGATACTTTTAACGTGAGCTACTTGCACAAATTCTTTAAAACCATGGAGAAGCAGCATTAAAATATTATTGTCAAACGAAAAAACTGTTGACGTTAAAAATCATGACGCTCCTCAAATTTTCACGGCTAACATTTATTTGACACACTTAACAATTAATAACGATGTTTTTGTTCTGGTCTTTGTTCATTTTTATAATAATATACGGAATATGTCATTTGCATCTGTATATTACAAAATTAAGCAATCAAATTAAAATGTATGAAAACATGGGCTTCACATACACACACACACACACACACACACACACACACACACACACACACACACACGACGTGAGGGCGATGAGACCACAGACAAAAGTCAAACACGTGTGAAGCTAAACTAAAGGCCTAATCATGTTGAGGCTGAAGTAAAAAAAAATCCTATTGAAAATGCTATGATAATGTCGTATTGCACTATTTAGCTAATGGTTTAAATGTCATAAATCAAAATAAGATTAGAATCATTTTTAAACCATCTATACCTTAAAACGAAACACACGTCAAAAAAGAACAATAAATACATTCCAGAGAAAACCGACGATCTGGTATATTATATAGCCTAAATATTTAAATTTAGCAGAACAGGAAAAATGAGCTATAGGTAATTCCTTAAAGATAATGCCATTATTCAAATTTCCACACGATTGATGTATTACAAGATGTATTAACCTACTCTGGTTGCTCTTGTCCTATACTTTCCTGACTTTGTCCTTAAATGCACTAGCCTATTCTATAATTTGTGAATTGAAATTCTATTAAAAAGTTAAATTTGCAAAATAATTCTTAAACCATTATTTTTATTATTATCATTAGACTGCTTAATAAATGCAATTGTTACTAGTCTAATTATTGCGAATCCCTTCCTCTCGGCTATTGCATTCAGCATTTTACCCTTTCCACGTCAACCACAAGTTCTGTAACTTCAACATTTGTTATTTCTTACATGAAATAACGAGACAAAGTTGCTGCAAGAGAAGTATGTTATTAGTGTAAATGTGTAAAACATCCATAGCCTTTTAAACTGTTTATTTAGGCCTAAATGCATTTTCTTAATAAAGGCTCAAAATAATTCACTTTCACATTCAAACTCATTATTTACCTTAATCAATATCCAGAATAACAGAGATGCTACTTAGCTCCAATGGGAACCTGTTATTACAGTAGCAGCTATAATGAATGCATCTGATGAAACAAGACGAAAGTTATTTTCTGTTGCACTTACTGCTTATGGCGTGTCGGTACCTCGGTTGGCCGTTGAGAGGGCTCTGTCCATTGATTAAAAGTATTGAATCCAGGGCTGGGCTTCTCGCTGCCTCGTGGAGGACTGAAAACGGTCTGGTTCGGTGTTGGACACTTGGGCTCCGTGCACTCTGCTCTGTGATCGAGCCACTGGAACTAAGAGACTCCAAGCTGAGGGGTACAGGTAGTAGGAGACAGACAGCATGAAGAGAGAGTGCTCGAAATAGGATGGTGCAAGAGCACAGAGATCCGAGAAGTTTCCGACAAGCGACCTGCGACCGTCTTTAACAATCTTGCTCAGCGTTTACCGCGAGTTTGAATCACTAGTGTCCGTCGCTGAAACGAAAACCTTAACAGCGGGCGAGAGCATCAAAATCTGAACACGTCCGTATAGGTTGCTGCATGCACAAAAAGAGAAACAAAGCTAAAACAGACGTTACCTAGGCTATCTACTTTGGACGATTCGGACATTACCTATTAGAGCGGCGTAAAATCTCAAGAGCAACAACGTAAGTGTGTCACTTTCAATCTCTTCCTTGCGCGGCGCGCAGACTGACGGAGAGCCGAGAGAGGAGTGGGAGTGGGAGGGGAGGAGGACTGGAGAGCAAACGTGGAAGTGTGACAGGGAGAGAGGGAGGGAGGGACGGGGCTGTCCAAGGTAAGTAATTAATGCATTCCATGTATAAGTTATCAATAAAGCGCACTTCTGTTTACCTGACTTCTGTTTTAACACTTTTTTATTTGGCTTGACATTCGCACAACTAATCGTATTTATTTTTTAAAGAAATTGTTTCAGATCAATTACACATCGGCATCTCCTTTTAATGCATTGATCTCGACGTGAACATAGCGCGTTTTTGTAAGTGTAGTATGTTAATTATGCTAAATTAACTAGTAATCCGGCAGACCGACGCAAAAATACCTACTGTAGAAAGTAGACTATATGCAACGTGCAAACTAGATGAGAAAAATACACAGATGGGTTTATAGCTTATTGTTAGGACGGAAAATGGGAAAACCTTGTTTGGAAATGATGGAAGATGCACTTTATAAATTTAAAATGTAGCGGATTTAGTTTTTGTCTCAATTAGCGGAGTTGTTGTCTTAACGGAATGGTTGATTTCCCAGTCTTTGGTGGTCCTAAAAGAAAAGGACAACTGAAATCGCAAATGACACCATCTCAAAAACCTGTAAGCTTTGAAAATTGAAACAATTTACATTAGAGACAAAATTGAAATCTTGACTTGAATCGGTTTATGGTGTGCACTGCTCTTTTGGTGTCCAAAAGAAATGAACGATGCTCAAAAAGACATTTGCATGAAGCTGATGGTTCTGGTTTAGGTTTTAATTAGCTGCCTTCATCAATTCTTTCAACAAATTCAAATCACCCCTACAAGCTGTCAAAGTTCAACCTGAAAGCTCCGTAAAAGGAAATAGGAACGATATAACTTCTAATTACAGAAAATTAATTTCTAATAACAAATTCTTAATTTAAAACTGTGCAATTACTCAGCTATGGCCTCTGTCAGTATTTCACATAAAGCTACATATAAGCTTCAACACATCAGGATTTAAATGCATGCACACATTTAGATTAATCATAAAGTCTCTTACCTTGTTCCACAATGGTTTGAGAGCTCATTAAGTGCACAATGGTGTGTATGCAGTTGGCTGTTCTGCTGCTTTGAGACACTCTGGGGTGTGTGAGCGAAAGCTGGCTGATTCTCCCACCTCATTCGTCACTATTATAATATAAGATAATGATCATGGTGATGATGATGTTGCAGCGTTGCGTGACAGGTAAAATGCAGCATGGAATTGAGTTGCTAATATAGACTAAATAATACATTGTATAAATACATAGAACATTCTAATATTAGTTTTTAATGTGTTCCTCTGAATTTGACCAACCTAGTTATAAATAAAACGTGAAAAAGAGACGAATGTCTTCTTCATATCTGGGCTTTTTAATGTACAGTAGCAAATACGTTTGTGGCCCCTGACAGAATAAAGACATCTACAAAAACAATGCGTTTCCTATCAGTTAAATTTCTGTTTTCAGCAGATGCCTGTTTATTTCCACAACTCTACAACCAAATGCAATATTAGGAATAAGAATACAAAAATCGTTAAATAGCGTAATATTATATAGACACCGATATAATACAAATAACAATAATAATCACAGTAATAATAATAATAACAATAGTAATAATAATAATAATTATTATTGTTGTTATTATTATTATTATTATTTTAAAGTGTTGATTATTGTATGGAAAATAAAAACGACACATTACTTTTCAATCTTCAATCTGGCAGATAAAGATCCAATCAAAATGATTAACAAAATAATAATCCTAATATTTTGGTAATGTTTAATATTAGAAATATTTGAACCAAAATTATTAGACATATTATAATTAGATGCATAATGCATCCCGGGTTCTCAAAGAGAAAAACACAGGCTATTCGCTGATGGCACGCGAGCTCTCTCTTTCTCCCTCGATGAATTTAGTTTATGTTATATCTGAATGCAAAATTAAACTGTGCTATTCGGTGAACACGACTTCCGTGAGAAAATTAATATTTTATCGCAATAGGCCACAAAGCAGCAGGTTTAGAGATGAACAAATATATGTGATACACATGCAATGAATGAATGAATGAATGAATGAATGAAAAGATATGGGCTAGATATAGCTCACTAAATATTTAAACAGTATTATGATGGCATAATGTACAAAACCACCAGAAGATAGGCCTATTTTACTTATTTGACCCTTTCATAATGTTTTTTTATTATTATTTTATTTCAGTGCCTCTGCTAAATGTTAATTGCTTTGTTATTAAAAAGGCTAATATAGCAGTTAAAATATCTAAACGATTTATCAAGCTTAATTAGGTATAATTTTAATTGTATTTGGTATGAATTATATATATATATATATATATATATATATATCATCAGTTGATATCGCAGATACAAATAGGAAAAAAAACAAACGTGAAAAATCAGTATATGTCTACGGGAGTGTTTCTCTTATTGATATAAACGTATTGCACGCAAAAACGTGGTGTTTAAGCACACTTAAATTATTGAACTCTGGCTTAATTTGTAAAGCCTTTTTGAGCATCTTTTTTAGGGACCTCATGAGCTGTCTCTTTTCCATTTCTTGGGTAACTGGGGATCTAAAATTAGCTGACTACTTGGAGTCAAAACAACATTCAAGCAGAAAGAGTCAAACCGTGAAACAATTAAAAATATATATGCCCGAGACTTCAAAAACAAGAAAACATTTCAGGTTGAAAAAGTAAATAATTGAAAAGATGCAGTTTCCCCGATGAATCTATAAAACATGACAATAATTACGTGGAGGTTTGGAACGTGCGGAGCTTCTGTTTCGAATTAAATCATAACGTCACACGTCCAAGACTGATTGAATGAAGCGACATTTCATTAAAAAAAACAATGGATTTTCTTTTAAATTAAGCTTTAATGTGAGCTATTGTTAACGCCCGAGAAATAGTTAATAGACATTATTACTTTTAACGACTTTAAATTATAGAAAGACTTATGCCTTCTTCATCCAGATCTACATTAAAAATCTAATTTAAATTCAAAGAATAAAACATCTAGGGCATTTAAAAAAATATGTCTGGTCCCGCAAAACATCATAAAAAATATAACATATCTAATGGATTTAAACCAACATTGTCGGCCAAAGGTAAAATTTGCCTATTTTCGAAACACAAACATTCATTGTTATTTCTGAGTTATGTTTGTGTTAAAAAAAAAAAAAAAAATTAAAAATTCAGTGCCTTCGGGTCATTGCTGATTCGGTTGACTGCATGGTCTTTAAGTAGTAAATGTGGAAATAGCATCGTCTACTGGCCAGAATCAACACTGCATCAGCAGTCCAGAGGTGAATTGTTTTGAAATTTGTGTTACTTGTTTTCATAAAATGTGCTTATTACGATGGGCGATTTAAATAATAAATTAATTATAAATAATATAAAATAGCACCCGCACAGTGCAGATAAAACACCAGGTGAATCACAGCAATCCTCAACGGTGACAATCAATCTATGAAGGGGAAAAGGCAATTAAAACACTTAGGCTAAATCAACTTCAAAAAAATTATATAATAAACTAATTTCACTAAGAGCATTTTTTTTCTTAATTTTTTTAGATAATAGTCATAGTAAAATTATTATGTTCACTGCTTCACCACTCATCACACATTGTTTAACCAGCCTGCATGTTAAACTCTAATGTGAAATAAAGTATGATATTCCATCTGAAAATATGTTAAATATAAGCATATTTGTAAGCATATTCATGCATGATCATATTGAATTAATAACAACAATTATAATTATGACATTATATTATGCATATCGTAAATTAACTAGTCTCGGATCATTAATTATTACAAACTATAAAGCTAAGAATAAATTAATTTCGATGTTGCTCGAAGCTTTAAATCGCCTTTACATTGATATTCTGCAGTCTGCGCATGCCGCATGACAGGCCTGAATGAACTAGTCTGTTTCATTGCATGTTGCATAATGGCCACAAAACAGTGCTATTTCCCAGCCCTTTCATTGACAAGACGAACAAAACGAACACTAACATTTCTGGGACTGACTTGCAAAACACAAGAATAAATATATGCATCTTTCGTATTTAAAAAAAAAAAAAAAGGTCTTAAAGTTCAGCACTTTCAGACTTGACAGCTCCAGTTAACGATGAACTCAGTTCAAATGTACAGTCTGGTTTGGAAAACAGTGTTACTTTTTTGTAAAACATCCTATAAATACTATACATTTATTTTGAAAGTGTGATTTGTAACGTTTTCGGAAATTGTATGCATTTACACAAATGCCATCACAATACAATAGCCTGCAAACGAAGTTATCAGAAAAAAAAAACTTTATGTAACATAATCGCGTCGTGTTGATTTCGTTATACGAAAATAAAGCGGGCGAGCGATGTGATTTTATTAAAGGTGTCTATAATAGGTGTTATCTAATAGTAGGCAAATTTAGCATGAAATAAAACATCCCAAATATATACTTCAATCCCATTTGTTTTTAAGTGAAAATGTAATGGGAATTAAAGGAACTAATTGCTTTCATAGAGAGGTCACGATTCCCCCGTATTTCCACCTGGAAAAATTGTTCAGATGTTCCTAAGAAAACAAAATTCAACAAGAACAACTAAAATGATGATAATGATAATGATAATAATAATAATAATAATAATAATAATAATAATAATAATAATAATTATTATTATTATTATTTTATAACTACTATTCTATATAAATATATCACAACAAAAATGCAAACATGACAATTAACCTAAAAAGTACTGATAACATTTTGTTTGGGAAAAAAAACATGTGCAATACACGCGGTCCTGCAAAACATATATGTTCCATAATTTATGTTTTGCTTGTCTTACCAATTTATGGTCTCTTGAATGAATGTTTCGCACGGCGTAACATTTGTGCACGCAAATGAGATCTAGACTAAATGTTCTTTAAAGACAACAGCAAATCATTTCGTTTGAGAGCCGAAAAACACCCAAAACTGTTTTGCAGGTCCAAGCATTAGAATTTACCTGAAATGAAATCCGCCTGACCTGAGACATTCATGCAGGGCTATGGAAAGCAAACGCGAGTTGTTAAGCGTGAGCAACTCTGCACTATGTCATTGGGCAAAAGTATTTGACAGTTGGAATGATCTGTAAATACTTCATTAGACTGTGTATGAGTTCCCCGCTTGTGCCTCATGGTCCAGTTCTGGTAAGATTTACAAATGATAACATAAACACAGTGAAAAGAAATTGATCCAGCGTTTGAAAGCGGAGGAGGGGCCCTTAAGAATGTGATCTGCCCACTTAACATGAAAACCAGGACGTCTGTGGGGCACGATGAGTTTTTGACCCACAACATGACTCGAGCAGTGCTTTTTCTAATGAATTTATTCAAGTTCAGCTGATAAGGAGCTTCGTCAATGGACTTCGCAGGTCTGTGCTGAAGGTAAGAATCACAGCACAGTTTCTGGACAAGGAAAGACTGCGCTATTGGTGTGCACTGTGGAAGTTTTGATGGTCGCACGGCCCTTGCTTAAAGATTAAAGCTTTAAATATTGTATGGTAAAGATTCTTGCTTTTGTGGGATTGAATGATAAATAGCACGTATGTATTTGTATTTAGATTATAAATTTAAGTATTAAGAATGTAAGACTCATCAAAAGTGCTTAAAATACCTTTTACTGTTGCAAAATCCTCAACTGTAATATAAACATTTACATTAAAACTAATATCTAATTAGTTCATGTAATTATTAATTTAAAAATAAAGTTTTAAAAATATATAATTTAAATTTAAGCTATATATATATATATATATATATATATATATATATATATATATATATATATATATATATATATATATATATATATATATATATATATATATATATATATATATATAGAATGAAGAATGGACAAAATTATTTATTAATAATATATTTTGAAACAATAGTCATTACATATACAAATATATCAATTTTTGCAACCTAAACTTAATCAATGCAACAATATTTGCCATTGTATGTTTTGTTAAATTTTTTTTTGCATTTTTCACATTGTGCACAAATAAATAGACTTGTTTTAAACCTATTTTTGCCTTTTTATTTTCAGAAAATAAACACTTTAAACAAAACATGTGGCAGCTTAAAACTGAACTCACCATATGCTACAGTTTTAAAACACTAAGATATTTTAATTCAAATTGGTCTCAAATTAACTAAACTGTTGCATTAAACAATTTAATTAAAATAATTTAAAATGGCAAGGCAGTAGATGAGTTTTCCATGTTTTGGGTTGAATCTTACAAGTGCAGCATTAGAAATGAATCAGTTTCAGCCATACACTACCCCATCCCTTACCCCCTCTCAGACCGTAATCTCTAAATCCCAACAATTCAACCTGAGAGAAATCTTAAAATAATTGGACCTTTTCTCTGCATTCCTATAGGAAAACCACAGCCAGCACGGGAACAGAAAGGCCAGTAGATGTCTAGACAAAGAATCAACATTTACACAGACAAATGCAC